GAAAAGGAAAGCGGGAAGGGAAGAAAGGAAGGGGAAACGAAGGGATGAAGAGGAAAGAGGAAGGGAAGAAAGGAAGGGGAGGGAAAGGAAGGGATGAAGAGGAAAGAAAAGGAAAGCGGGAAGGGAAGGGAAGAAAGGAAGGGGAAGGAAAGAAAGGGATGAAGAGGAAAGAAAAGGAAAGAGGAAGGGAAGAAAGGAAGGAGAGGAAGGGATGGAGAGGAAAGAAAAGGAAAGCGGGAAGGGAAGAAAGGAAGGGGAAACGAAGGGATGAAGAGGAAAGAGGAAGGGAAGAAAGGAAGGGGAGGGAAAGGAAGGGATGAAGAGGAAAGAAAAGGAAAGCGGGAAGGGAAGAAAGGAAGAGGAAGGAAAGAAAGGAATGAAGAGGAAAGTGGGAGGGAAGGAAGGGCAAGAGGAGGAGGAGGAGAACGACTGCGGGGCCCTTGGTGCTCACTGATTTTGGTTGTTTTCTTGCAAACATTTCATTACCAAACTATGTAACATCATCAGTGCTAGGAATGGAGGTTTGCTCTCATTTCTATTTCTATCTAGTGACTGGCCCTGTCCAGTGTTGGTGGAAATGGAGCTGCTTTGCTTGAGCCGCTGGCATGAGATCCCGCTGCTTGCACTCGGGGCGCAAGTGGGTGAATCCTGCGTCGGAAAGGGACTCACAAAGCCGCCAGCCCTCAAACAATCCTCCGAAGCCGCAGGAAGGAAGCCGGGAGAGAACGGAGACGCGGCCCAACCCAAGAAATGCCATCCAGATCCAGAAAAACCTACAGAAACCTTCCGTCAAACCCGAACATTTATTATAGGGTTAAGAACAACAGCCAACGAGAAGTGGGTTCCTAACGAATGGGCGCTGTGCCAGGACAAACGAGCAGCTGCCGCCACCCAGCTGTTGCCCGGCATTCTCCAGAGGAGTGAGGCGGGGGGGAGATGGCCAGGCGCCCCCTCCAAATCCTGCAATCGGGGGCCCAGGGGATGACGGTGCACCCACCTCGGCTCGGGCACCGCTTGACGGGGCTTCCTTCCTTCAGCCGCGGGGCAGAATCCAGGCCGGTTCTCGACAGCGCGGGGCGCGCGAGGAGAGAGAGCGCCTTTCAGGGTAAAAAGGTGGGCGCGAAGACCAGCCGCCTGCAGAGACCGGTGGCTCCCCCCCCCCCAATCGCAACGGGACAGGACACACCAAGGCGAAACGCTACTGAAACGGGCGGTGGCCCTTTGCAAAATAGCTTGGAGGTGGGGAGTGTGACGGGACCAAGAGCCAGCGGGTTCTGTTAGGCGAAAACGGGGCCGTTTTCCGTGTCCGTTAACAGCTTTTTAAGTGCAACGGATGCGCCATCCGAAAGACCGACAACAATCTGGAAACTCTCAGCCGAGTCAGGACAGAAGTTTGCCGCTCCCCCCCCCCCCCCCCTCGCCGTCCAGGGTAGGCTCTCCGCTTTTCCCTCTTTTTACCCTGGACGGGATCTCTTCCTCCCCCCCCCGTTTGTCTCTTTGCACCTGCAGCTCTGACCCCCCCTTGCGGGACGTTGCAAAAGGAAGCGAAAAAAGGCAGCTTTCACTTTTTGGGGGGGGGGCACGCAGACAGGAAGAGCGGGCAGCGTGAAACCCAGGTGTGAGTTTCTCGGGGAAACCCCGAAGCAACATTTCACTTCGCATCGCCTCTCCGCTTTCTCTCTTGAGGACTAGAGACACGGGGAGGCTGCGAGACGGTGCCCTCTCTCCCTCCCCCCTAGGCGTGGGGCGTGGCATTTTTGCAGCTTCTTCCTTTTCCTCCCCCCCATCCCACCCGCACCCCACTTGAAGGGCCTTCCGCCAGAGATGGCGACGTTAAGGATGAGAAGCCGGACGAGAAACGAGAGGTTCCCAATCCTCACCGTCTCCGAATTGGATGCTTTCGGCTCCCGGCAAAAATAAAACGCTTGTTTTTAAAAGAAAAGTCACGGTTTCCCCTCCGTTCGGGGTGAGAAATAACCGGGGGGAAGGAGAGGAGAAAAATAAAAATAAGGAAAATGCTACGGCTTGTGCCAGCTCGCAGAGGTTGTGGAGAGAAGACATCTCTGGCGGTGCGACCATCTCAGCTCTGGAATTTGGGGAGCCAGGCCAAAGTTCTCGGGGTCTCCCTAAGTGGCTCGTGGCTTCCGTAACCCCCCACGCCCCACTGCTGCCGCCGTCTCCCGAGGCAGGTTCAGTCCTCTTCATCCTCGCTGATGTCGTAGCTGGCTGTCGACTTGTTCCGGGGGATGCCGGCGGGAGACAGGGGGGGCGTCCGGGCGGTGAAAGGCCAGCGGAAGGAGGGCGAGGGCGAGCGGTCGTGGGTGGGGCTACTGCTGGGACTCTGCTTGGGGCTGATGGCCTGCATCATGCGCCCCTTCCCTTCTTTCAGCATGTGCTTCTGGAAAAGGAGGAAGAGGAAGAAAGAGAGCAATTAAAAAGTCAATTTCCAAACGGATACAGGTACTCCTCAAGTTATGACCCTTGTGTTAAGTTAATCTTTTCCCGACAAAGAAAGAAAGGGGGACGAGTACAGGTCTAAGGGAACACGGTGACTCAGGCGCTGCGCTTGTCGATCAGAAAGGTCGGCAGTTTGGCGGTTCGAATCCCNTGCCACGTGGTGAGATGGGTAGAGGGCTTTGGGCAAGACCTCCGCCTGAAGGAGGCAGAACTTTGTTATGTAGAATAGGCTGGCTCGGGCCTTAATGGCCCATTGACAAAGGTGGGGATGAATTTCTGCTTTCCTTTTAGGGGAAATATTCGGCCCTTTTAATATTTCCTAAAATATTTCATTTTTCCGGGAGAGGAGAGGATGCTAACTTCCTACAGAGGGTATAGGGTCTCCTGCTTGAGCAGGGGGTTGGTCTAGAAGACCTCCAAGGTCCCTTCCAGCTCCATTCTGATTAATTCTAGTTTAAACCCCATTCAGCGTACGGCTAGCCCTCGACCTATGACCGGAACTGAGCCCCCTAATTTTCTGTTGCGAAAAGGCAACATTTTGTTAAGTGAGTTTTCTCCTCATTTTACGGCTTTTCTTGCCACAGTTGTTGAGCGAATCGCTGCAGTTGTTAAGTTAGCAACTCGGTCGTTAAGTGAGACGGCTTCCCCATAGACTTTGCTTGTTGGAAGGTCACAAAAGGGGGCCACGTGATCCCTGGGTCACACAGTGACGGTCATAAATATGAGCCAGTTGCCAAGCCTCTGAATGTAAATCACATAGCTGTGAGGAATGGTCGTAAGTGTGAAAAACGTCCGTGCCACTTTTTTCAATGCCGTTGGGACTCCGCACGGTCGCTAAGCGAACTCTTGTAACTGTTGTTACAATGTTGTACCACGGACTTGGGCTGGTCGGGAGGTCGCAAAAGAGGATCACGTGACTTTGGGACACCGCGATGGTCATAAACACGAATCGGTGGCCAAGCGTTTGAATGTAGTTCGTGTCACCCTGGGGAGGCTGCTGTCGTTGCGTGAAAAGCGATCACAGAATCCGGGTGGGGTGGGGGGGATTGTTCCTAGCATGACTGCCGGTTCGGTGCGCGCAAAAGGTTGGCGCAAAACATTTTAAAAAAGAAAAAAAAATAATAAATTTGTGCAACGACAATCGTTCTGCGCATGCACAGAAACGGAAATCAGGATGGCGCCCCCGGAGGAGGCGTGGCAGGCCTGAGTCGCTGCCGGTTCTAGCAATCCAATCCGCTAAATTACAATCGGTTCGGCCGAACTGGTCCAAACTGGTAGAAACCTGATTCTGAGATCTCTCAATTGCCTCAATATCTCTCTGGCTTGATCTGCTTTTCAGGTCCTCCTCATTCTGACGGCCTTGCAGCCGTCCATCTTCAGCGTCTTGGCCAACGGGGGTCAAATCGCCTGCACCCCCCCATTCTCCTCCAGAGCCCGAGGACAGCGTAAGTTTCGGGGGGTGGGTGGGTTAAATCAAGATTTCCACAACCTGATCTCCTCTCCATAAGTTGCATTCCTACTCCTGTAATTCCCAGAATCCTCTCTCTCTTGTACAAAATGGCTTCTCTCAACCGAGATCTGGGTTCTAGATTGGCTAGAATAGAGGTGCAGAATGATGGCTCCTTTATGACTTGTGGACTTCAGCTCCCAGAATTCCTGAGCCTGCATGGCTGGTTGAGGAATTCTGGGAGCTGAAGTCCACCATGGCTGGTTGAGGAATTCTGGGAGCTGAAGTCCATCATGGCTGGTTGAGGAATTCTGGG